TTCCCTGAAATTTCCAATATGAATCTTGAAACTAGTGCTTGAGATTGAAATCAGCAGAAAAAATAGTATTCCTGCCGGGCTGGAGAGAGCATTTTGCACAACACCCTGATTCAGTTCCCATTACCACACAGTGGCTAAAAACAACAGTTCCGGGACTCTGATATTTTAACACATACCAGGGACAAACATATATGCAAGCATACACATAACAATTCATCTTTTTCAAAAATAGCACACCTAGAAAGTTATTCTTACGTTGACTTAATCTGGATGCATTTTTAATCCTTATTACTGTGTGTGTATACACGGGTGCGTGTGTGCGTGTGCATGAACATGCATGTGTAGGTCAGAGGGCAACTTTGACAGTTGGTCCCCTCCTTACACTGTGGATTCTGGGAATCAAACTCATGTTTTCAGGCTGAACCAAGCTTGCTCAGCAAGCACTTTTACCTCTAAGCCATCTCTTGCACCTCTCAACAGCACTTTTTAAAACAGGATTATGTATAGGAGAGAGCTGGAAGGGGGGGGGGGGAGGAAGGAGGGGTTGGGAGGGGAAATGGAAAAGATAGGGAGGGGGGAGGGAGGGAGAAAGCAAAGCAGTGGAGGGAAAGGGAAAGTTAAATATGTCAGTCATAGAACAAACTCATAAAACTCCAAGCTCAGTGCTGATGTAGTAATAGACAGCTAATCAATCACAAGGGTATTATTTTTGTTTAGCCATTTATTAATAAATGGTTGTTTTCATTACTTCAGGGCATGCCCCTACTTCATAATAGTTGGTAATAAACTAAACTTATTAAGATCTTAACATGTGAGGGTGATTGTCACTGCTTTCTGTGTCATAAAAGGCACTCTGGTCATAAGTCTAAATCAGAAGCTCTTTGTTAGTGAAATGAGCAGTTAAGTTTTCAATAAAAGGCCAGACCAAAGCCCGCTTCATTCATTTACCAAGTGGTGTGTATGTGTGTGTGTGTGTGTGTGTGAGAGAGAGAGAGAGAGAGAGAGAGAGAGAGAGATCTTAGAAATGAAAAAACTAAATGTGGCGATCACATCACCACCTCTGAAGTTCACACCCATCTCTTGAAGACTTCGTTGGAGCAGCCATTTTTCATCATCCATCCAACAGTGCTACAATAACACAAAGAACTTCTGAAATGCCCAAGTTAAACCTCAGTAAGATCATGGGACTATTAATATAATGACGTACTATAAAGATCCTAACTCAGCAAGGGATATTCAGGATGAGACTTTAAAACATTACATTTGAACCTCTCTACTTGCTGCCCTCTCTGTGACCTGGCTTCCTCCCGCTTGTGGCCACAAGACTCAAGATAGCAAATGCAGAGTTAGACAATGTAGGGATGTGGAGAAAAGCTTCAGAAGAAAAGCATTCATTCATGCAGCCATTTGTAGAATCAGATGGTTTTCTTTGAAATATAATCTCCTGGCTTCAACGAGAGGAGAATGTATTATACCACATAGTGTGTGCAGCAGAGAACTTAAAATGACTGCCAAGAGACAGCACCACTTCAAAATCAAATTGTTTTTAATTGGACTGAAACTGATGGGGTCTCAAGGATAGCAGGTTGGGATCTATGCCAGTGAAGCTGTTTTGCATTTGATAAGACTTTCATTTGGGATAAAACAGAAGTTTACTTGCCTTTTTTATGAGGCAGAGGCAGGGGTGTTTTTTTTTTTCTGTTAACATACCATCCATATAGTCTCACGCATATATATGTGTGTGAATGTACATATTCTTTTTTATTTAGAAACACTACTTTAGAAAAATCAACTTTTGCTGCTGTAGGTCCCCTGGGCTTCTGTATCTGTTTTTTGTTTGTTTGTTTGTTTGTTTGTTTTGTTTTTTAAGGAACAACTTTTTATTATAAAAATAATTATTATCAAAGCCAAAAAACTAAAATACAGATATAAATAGGGAGATATCAGCATGATTAGCAGAATGGAAGATCTCTCACTTTAGACTTAATAACCATCTACAGGTAAAACATGACTTTATCAGACCTCTGAGATTTACGCACGAGTTTACAACATTGAGTTTACAACTCATTGAGAAGGCAGACCTCGGCCATCTGGTAACAGAATCACCTGCCCATGTCTCTGCTAGCATGTGTCCAGCTATGAGCCTAGATGCAGCCTTGTCTGTTTATGGACCCAGTAGATAGCTCAGCCTTTATGCTCACAGGTTCAGTAGTTCAGCTTGTGCTCGTAACCAAAAGGACACCTATTTACACCTCTGCTGTCATGACATTTTACAAACACTGGGAAAACACACAATCTCCTCACTCTTTAACAGAGCTGTACGTGGCCCTAATTGCCCATGTAACCCAAAGACAGTCCCATCTTCACACATCTCCACAACACCTGAACGCATGAACTAACAATCCAGTCTACTCCTGACCCCTAAACACAGGCCCTTCTGACCGTAGACTCTTGCAGTGGCTCCAGCCATAGACCATGGTTGCAGATCTACTTTTAAACCTTGGTTTAACAAGGGCTCTGTGTATTTGGGGATAATATTAGTCAAATTTTGCAAAGAGACTAAGTGCAAAGTCATTCATCTTATAGGCAGGGAGAGCTGAGGACACAGTTTGTGTCATTCTAAGACTTACTTTGGAAAATAAAACACAAAAACGCCCTGACGAGACCTGATAGGCTAGGGTCAGATAGAAGGGGAGGAGGACCTCCCTCATTTGACTGGGGGAGGGGCATAGGAGAAGAAGAGGGAGGGAGAGTGGGATTGGGAGGGGAGAGGGGAGGGGGCTATAGCTGGGATACAAAGTGAATAAACTGTAATTAATAAAAATAAATTAAAAATTAAAAAAAAACAAAAACTCTGGCTACCATATATATATATATAAGTATATATATATGTGTTTATTTGTATAATATATACATATATATTTGTATATATATGTAGAGAGAGAGCACTACCTAGACCTAAAATAAGTTTGGGAACTGTCTATGAATCTCAGAATATTTGGTCTTTTTAGCAGATATTCTGTTCTGGCCACAGGCCAGATCCAGGTCCTTTTATAAGCATCCTATACCCTCTTCTCCCCTTACCCAGTTTCTCCAACCAAACTTTTGCTGGAACACAGCCCCATTCATCTACTTACTCATTTCTTCCAACAATGGCAGACTTGAGTGTCTGCAACAGAGCCCACACAAAATCGAAACTATTTTCTAACTTAGCTCTTTTCAGAAAAAGCTTGCTGGTTCTCTTCCAGTGTAATAATCACAGAAGTCTATTATAGATAGCAGGAGAAGAGTCCTCACTGCATCGTTCATCAGTTGCTCACTTATATACAAAATGACCTTATGTGCATTTCCTTCTATGCCCACATCAGCCCTGTAAAGTCCAGGGCTGTGCGTTTATCATGATTCTTATTCCAGGAGCCAGGCAGGCGTATGTGAATGTGCAATAAGAAAATTAAAGTGATTTCAATAACAGATTTCAGTTTTGTATTTCAAAAGAGTCCGTGCAAGTGTCATTATTTAAAGGAGAAAAGGCTTTGAAAATTTTTGGGAATACTATTTGCTTCTATGTCTCCATGACAGAAGATAAAGAAGCCAAAGACTAGGGATGTGGTATAATATTGGGGTGAAATTTTATTGGAGATCATCCTGAATGGCCATTCCATCCCTGTTTACCCTTCTGATGCATGGTCTAATAACCTTTTCAGCCTTGCAAGTAAGTGCCTCTTCCAAGATAACTAGAGTGAGGCTCTTTAGGGAAGGGTCTTTTATGACACCCCTAAACGGTATGTGTGCTTTGGGCAAGGACATTCCTCCTGGGCGGACTGATCGCTTCTGTCCCTCAGAAGGCCAACCTCGGACTCAGGAAGCATCTTTGTTGCGTCAACAAAGGCTTGGTTTGCTGTTAGAATGTCAGTGTCCCTAAAGCAGCTCTGACCCATTTTTCACTTGCTGGGATTTAATGCCCTAAGTTTCTTACCAGTTCTTCATTTTCTGCCAAAGTCACAGTGACGAAGCCAGGTTGCCTGTCTCTTCAGCATACCTCTGTGTGAGAAAGCGTAAGGATCATGGTGGGGTGGTAATCATCCCAAAGTTCTTTTTCCAAATTGCTATACTAACTTTTAAGAAAATGTTAATGGCTCCCTCTGGGCTTTTTCCCCTGGGAATTCTCAAGGCCACTGAAGTTATGGCCGTGGCTGTTTAACAAGGAGCAAAAGCTTTTGGGGAGTTTGGATATTTTCATACATTCTAGAGAAAGTGGGGGTGAGGGGGGACCGAATTCTTACTAGTGTAGCTCCTCTCCAGGATTGGAGGTGGAGGAGAATATGGAACAAATGTGTGTGGCTGCAGAACCTCTTGTTTACTGTAACATGCCTGTGGCTTTCAATTTGAGTGTGGCTTTCTATGTGATATAAAAAGACATGGAGTTCAGGCTCGTTCAAAGAATGTGTGAGGGGAAAGGCAGTACCATTCTTGGAAACCTTAAAAAAAATCCGTCTTTATGCACAAAAATAAATCCTGGGAAGCATACTGAACGTGAGCTAGGAAAAGTTACAGATAGGAGTTCCAAACCAAGAGAAAACTCTTCCGCAACATCTCCAAGGGCTTATTTTGTTATCGTTTTTAGTGTCGGTATTAGTCTGGTGTAAGAAGAGCCAGCATCCTCCAAGAGACACAAGTGCTGGGACTTAGAGTGAGGAGACCCACCAGTGTCCCGCTGCCTCTAGGGGTGCAGAGCAGGAGCGAGCAGGTGGTCTGTGGCTGGAATGGCTTGCAGCTGGGAGTTCACATGACACTCCCGAAACACGCACTCCAGAATCAGTGGCCAATGAGCTCATGAACTAAAGGGAAGCTGCCAGCCCAGAACTGGGTGGAGAATCCGTCGCACATGCTGGTACACAGCTCTGGGCCCCGGAGGCAGGTGCGATGCAGCCCCTCACAGCACCCGTAGCTTCCTGCCTGGGGCTTCTCATCCTGTCCTCTTGTTTGCTTACCAACTGCAGGTTCATTCCAGAAGCTTGGTCGGCCTGTACTGTCACCTGTGGTGTGGGAACCCAGGTGCGAATAGTAAGATGCCAGGTGCTCCTGTCTTTCTCTCAGTCCGTGGCTGACCTGCCTATGGATGAATGTGAAGGGCCCAAGCCAGCATCGCAGCGTACCTGTTATGCCGGACCATGCAACGGGGAAATTCCTGAGTTTAACCCAGATAATGGAGACGGATTCTTGGGTGGCCTGCCGGACCTGGACGAGCTGTATGATTGGGAATATGAGGGCTTCACCAAGTGCTCTGAGTCATGTGGAGGAGGTAAGGAGGGGAGCCCAGATCGGAGCCTGCCATGTTCCTGGCTGCTTCTGTCCCTGCATGCAACTGTAGCAGGTGACTGTACTAGTCCAAGATTGATAAGTGGAGAAAGGAGAGGCAGCTATTCTAAACGTAAAACATCCCAAATGAAACCCTGATGGATTTCTTTCCTCCCGAGTGGCTCTCAAAGTCAGCTGTGAGCGTCCAGCCCAACTGATGCCTTGGCTTGCAGCTGCCCTCCAATGTTTTGTTCTCGACGTTGTTCGGTCTTATTTGTCTGTGTCTTTCCTCAGTGCATTTGGGGTGAAAGGAAACCCCACCGCAGCACATTCTACAGTTCTCAAGAATGCAACAGAGTCCCTGAAATGTATTCCTCTTGTTTTGTCTTCCAACTAAAGGAGGGTGTTTAAAGACAATGAACACTTACTGTACATAACAGGAGAAACAGGAGAGCAATGGCCAAAGGCAGAGCCTGCTCATTCTGTAAGAGGGAAACCAGGACGCAGAGAAACGGGGACTTTTTCCATCTCTCACAGTAATGATAGTACTGGGCCCTGGCCAAGGCTTCTGTTTTCTGTCTGCACTCAGTCTTTTCATCATAATGTACCTTCATTAGGCTCATACAGAATCCCTGAAGCTTTCCCATTATGAATGTTATTTAATATCAAATGTTTACATGTATCTTCACCTCATTCCCATGGGTATGTCCACGATTCTCTAAAAATAACTTCAGTAATGCTTACTTTATTGTATTAACGATGAGCAATTACTGCATGTATCTATGGAGTAGTGCATGATTTGATGTATGTATGGAAGGAAGATTAAAACCAAGCTAATTAATCCATTCAGTGATTTTGGAGGGGGCCAGGGAAGCCTGCACGGTTGCACCAACCCATGTAGGCATGTATAGAGAGAAACCAGGAGTTGATGTCAGGTGTCTTCCTGAGTTACTTCTCTACCTTACGTTTGAGGCAGTCTCTCTCAGAACCAGAGGCATGCTGCTTCAGCGAGACCGGCTGCCCAGCAAGCCCATGGGATCTATTTGTGTCTGCCTACTCCACCCCACCTCCAGTGCGGGGATCACAGGCACACGCTGCCATGCTCAGCATTTTAGGGGGGGGGGGGGGGGGGTGATCTGCAATCAGATGCTCATGCTTCCACAGCAAGCACTCTGCGCTGAGTCTTCTGCCCAGCCCTCTTCCATGATCCTTTATTTAAGATGTTAGGGAAAGGAAAGCATGCTGGAAAAATCAATTCATTCTTCAAGATTATGATATGCCTATGCGACTATTGTCCATATCAGTCCCAAGAGAGGTTTTGACAGGTGACAAGATGCAGACTGATTCCCACACACACACACCAAAGTCTTAGGGAGTGTTGAGGATCCACAAGCCCAGCAAAGATTTCACTTAACCATTGCAGAGGGCAGGGAGAATAGTCAAATAGTTTCCCAAAGCTGCTTTCCAAACCATGACATTTGGGAAAGTCTTTTAAAAAGCATCTTTTGTTCAGGTCGTGAATGTGAGAATAAATGTGCCCACTTTGTCCATTCACATGGAGTTGAAAGGGAATGAATACTTCTAGCAAAGAATGTACTTTTCTCCAGCAGTTCTTTTTAAACATTTAATAGTTCTGACCTCAAGGTTCCTGTCTGTTTGCACATCTTCCAGTTTCAAGCACTGGAATTGTTGGAGTGTTTTCATGGAAGCCCTGGTATTTTAGATGACTCTAAAATACCAGATGACTCTGAGAGACAGCTTCCTGGAACTCGGCTAATGTGCTGTATCCATCCAGGGTAGTTCCCTCACTTTGAGGATGTCCTTTCTTTCTTTCGTGCCTAAGGAGGAGGATGTGTTAAATAAACTTCGCTGGTCTCTGAACTCCTATAGGAGCCAAGAGGCCAGGGGAAAAGCTGGATGTAGCTGGTGTCACTATTGCTTCTTTTGTTTTGTGCTTTGTGTTTTAAAACAGAGAATCAATATGTAGCGCAGGCTGGCCTTGAACTTGTGCAGTCTGCAAGCCTAGCCTCCCGAGTGCTGGTACCCCAGGCATACACTACCATACCCAATTGCTCTGTTAAATATAAGGAATGACTCACAATTCCAATGGTTGTGCTGTTACCCCCAAATTCCATGATCACCTGAATTGAATGTACATCATATAAACTCAAAAACAAATGTCCTCAGAAGCACGCCATGGTTTCTCTGTTATGGTTCTCAGCTCTAAGTCAAGCCTGGAATTTTATAAGAAGGTGGAAAAAAAGATGCAATAATAAGATATATAAATAGCCAAATACCTTTATCTTTAAGAGTTAACTCTTCTACTTGACCCAGCCAGGAGTTTCAAATTGAATTTTGGGGATATGCATACATATGTCGAAAATATTAATTTTAAGAATTTTCAGCAGAAACTCATTATGAAATAAAATTCAAATGTTTGATATACAATTGATCTCTACCTATAGGAACTGAAAAGTTTTGTATGACATAAATTGTTCTTCATTTATACCCAAGAGAGGACAAAGTTACTAAAATCTCTTGGGTTTTAACTGTCAACAACTGAGCACAACGTGCCAAGGTAATATATTTACACCTAAAATGTTAGAGTTGAAAATTCCAAAGTGGTGAAAATATGCTTGGGTTATATCTTCCATATGATGCCCATATGCACCAACAAATCACTTCAATGTACGGAACATGTATATTTTCAAATCAGTTTGTCAGTGACGGTTACTATTGTATTACCAACTTTGATCTTCCACAAAAATAAAAATCACAAGATTACATATATGATTAATCATTCTTGCTGAAACCTACCTAAAATGCGCAGAATTAACGAACAGATTTTAAATCAGTTGGCATGATAGAGCCAGTCAAGCTGCTTTACCGTTTCTATAATCTGAAGCAATGAATTGGGTAGAACAAAGGTAATCTTTCACCTGGAAGAAGTAGTAACCAGAAGGAACCAGTTAGCATCTTCCATCTGTAGTTGGTGGCTGAGGTTCAGAAGGCTGTCATCAAATATCATGCAACAATCATGCGATTCTGGGAGATATAGACACGGAAGAGACCACTTGCTTGGAGATAAAAGTCCTCAGACCTGTGAATGGCGTCCTACCATCTAGTACTTGTCGTGCTGTAATTTCCTCCTGTGAATTGATTGATGTGGTCCAGGAGAGAAGTTCTGAATCCCAGCAGCACCGTGGTGTTGACTTTAGATATCAAACCAACTTTGAGGTCTAGCTTAGGAAAAAAACAGGGGACCGACTTCAGCGGAATTTAGGGTGAACTCTTGGACCTGTGGCTACTTTTCCTTTTCTCTCCTCTCTTCTCCTCTGTCAGTAGAGGAGAACCCAGAGCCGGGATGTACTACACTTGAACACAGGTTCTCCGTTGCTTTCATAATATTGGTTTCAGGGCCACATCGAGATGGCTCAGTGGGTAAGGGTGCTTGCTATGCAACTCTGAGGATCTGAGTTCAGATCCGACTACCACATATAAGCTGGGTGTGGCTGGGTAACTGCATGCCTGTAATCTTGGAACTGTGAGCTGGAGAGACAGGAGTGCTGAGGCTTGCTGATTGACAGCCTAGCTGCAGCCTCAGGGAGAGACCCCGTCTTAGGGAAATGGGGCAGAGAATAATAGAACAGAACAGCCAACATCCTTGTCTGGAGTTTGCATGTATGCGTGTCACACACATACACTATGCTCTCACACATATACAACATACACGGTATATGTGGATTCAGGACTCTGTTATTCTTCTCCAAGGAGCATGAACTTAGAAAGCTACTGTGCTATGTTTCTGCCTTTCTCCCTGCCAGGAGCACAGGGAGCACAAAGAGTCCTGGCTATTCCTTCCACACTCCCCACCTCAGCACCTCACCCCATGATTCTTTTCTCCAAGCATCCCATCCCTCCCCTTCCAGCCCGTTTCCCTCCGTGTTTAGAGGGCCTGTCCCATTAGTCATTGACGTATTCATCAGAGAAAAGTGCACTATGTTGATCACAGGGCTGGCCCCATGTTCTGTTGAAGTATGACTTGGGTTCCTCCATCTAAGAATGCCCGGGCAACTGACCCCACAGCAAAGCAGACTTGATGCACAGTGTTGCCAAGCCTTGCACATTGTTTTATAATACCTTAGATTAAAACTTAATAACTCTGGAGACCTTCTTGATCTCAGTCTGTGGCTATCCCATGGGTGCTTTTGATCTGCTGTGCTTAATGCTAAAGTATATATTTGGGCTTTAGAAATCCAAGGGGGGGGGATTGCTGATGTCCCGCAGAAACCTTGTCTTTTGTACCCCACTCCTTGCAATTCTGGAAAGGCTTAAGTTCTGTAAACAAAGAGTTCTCTGAGTAAAAACAAGTTCCAGCTCTCACTCACCTAAAGCAGGCACTATCAAGTAAGGCAAATGACTCAAGTTCTCTGGTCATGTACTGCCTCAGAGTTCCTGGAGATCGACCTTATTTCATAAGGCTTTCCGTAGCCTGAATAAAGCTCAAATGTGTTTTCTAGAATCTCTACAGTGCTATTAAATGAACAAGTTAGTAGAAAGTATCTTATCTATTTTCAGGTTAGCATACAAAGTATTGAATTTCATCTTGGTGTTTTCACATGTGGCCGTTCTACTCTGCTCTCAATAGTCTCCCTCTTCCTCTTCCCTTCCCCATCCCGCACCTTCCAGCTGGTTCCCTTTCTTCCTCCAAAGAGTCCCCATTTCTGCTTTCTTTTTATATGTAACCCATTACCCTAGTTCCCACCCCCCAGAAAATCTATTCTTCCCCTTCCTCGATTTGTAACCTATACACCAACCCTAAACACATATGGATACACATATGTAGATATACACACACACACACACACAGACTCCACATGTGTGAGAAAACACATATCTGTTTTTCAGAGACTGGCTTATTTCATTCAGCATATTGATTTCTGGTAGCATCCATTTTCCTACAAGTACAATGAATTTATTTTTTTATGGCTATCTAAAATTCCA